TCAACTTATAGACCACATATCTGAGAAGATCTATTTTTTTTAACTCCTCTATATCAATAAAAATTCAATAAACCAAAGAACACTCACAAAATCATATTCCAATTTTATTGATCCAATTAATTCTAATATTCAACCTACTAATGAATACAATGACATTTTTCCCAATTGAACATCCTACATAAATACCAACACCATTTACAATATTTACAACACCAATAATGCTTTTAGTTCATCAATTAACAAATGTTATATCCATGATTTTATTCCATGACTTGCTTAAAAATAGGAATTGAAGCACTGCCACAACAGAAGTTTCCTGCACATTTATACATTACATATTTTATCTTTCATTTTTTTCTCTTAAAACTTACTTTTTAAACTTAATTATTAACACATCAACATTAACTTTCCAAAAATTTAACATTTAAATTACACATTTTCCTTATATATATATTACACATTACAAATTCTCTACTTACTTGCATATATTTCTTTTTGAACAAATACAACAGAAGTTTCCTGCACATTTATACATTACATATTTTATTTTTTATTTTTTTCTCTTAAACTTACTTTTTAAATTTAATTATTAACACATCAACATTAACTTTCCAAAAATTCAACATTTAAATTACACATTTTCCTTATATATATATTACACATTACAAATTCTCTACTTACTTGCATATATTTCTTTTTGAACAATAAATTATTATTTTCTTTTTACAACACTTCTGTATTGTAATTTTTTCCTCTTTTTTAAAACTTTTTCAAAATTTTTTTTTTTTTTTCAACACTCCAAAATTCAAACCTTCCTATACATCTTTAATTTTACTCAATTCTTTTTTAACATTTTTCTTTTACACTTGAAAACTCAAATCTCTTTATACATCTTTAATTTTACTCATACCTAAAAATACACCCAACTATAATTTCTTTTTTTTTAAAATATATATTCCTCAGTATTTTCCCTACCCATTATATTTCACAAAGCAAATAATCAACATCACATACCAACTATTCCCTAAAATTCTTATGCCCATCTCCTTCCATATGGAAAAATCTTGGTTTTACAATCTCATTATTCTCTATAGATCATTTCTCCTTACTCTCCATCACATCTGCATTCATTGTACAAAATAATTTGACATTTCTCTCACTGATAAGTTCTTTCACTCAATTCATAGCCTCTCCTTTAGTCACACAATAGAACGCTGCCCCACGTGTTCCAAAAACATAAAAATCACCAAATCCGGCCTTTTCACCAAGCACAAATCCAAAGGCTGTGCTTGTCCTGAGTCTGGAAAGCGTCCTTCCCCTCCCTTCCAAAATCCCCTCTCCATTTTTTCTACTCACAGTTATACTTCCACCTCATCCAATAACGCCCACATACCAACCACATCAGACACATTCATTTCCCTCCCACCTACCACTCACGTCGACATCATTAACTTTCTAAAATCTGACAAACCTCCCATTATATCTAGAATTCCCAAAGGCTCTAGAATACAAGTAGCCAAAGCTCTCTCTACCTGTCTTCATTCACTATTAAATAACTTTTCCTCTCTAGATCATTGGCTCAAACTTTTTTCATTTTCTTTCACTACTCTCCAACCTCCCAATCCTGAGATTCACAAATCTTTAACCCAACAAATTAAAGACGCAACCATACACCCTCACATCCACCTTTTCTCCTCATAATTCTAAAAAACTTTCCAGCCTCCAATTAAAGGCTAAGATAATTTCTAATAAAATAAACAATCTAAACATCAAATCTGCTCTCCGCTTACTAGCATCTGACAGCTCAATTGCAACCAGTAATGAGGAGAGCTACAACAAACTTAAACTTAAGCACCCTTCTGGAGGTGACCTCATACCTCCTCCTCCGCCCAACATATTTCCCACTAATTTTACCCCCGTCGAGGTGCGCAAAAGTATTCTATCCTTTCATCACGACTCCTCGCCCGGGTACGATGGGCTTCGCCCCATCTTCCTCCAGGACCTTACATCCCCCCTCATAGTCAGCCAAATAACATTCTGCAACAAAATAGCACATGGACCTGGTCCCGAATTAATCAGGCCACTCCTGTTCGGCGCTAAATTAATCGCACTCGAAAAGCCGAACAAGGACATCCGGCCGATAGCAATCGGGACCGTATTCCGTCGTCTCGTTGCTAAACTCATAGCTTCCAAAATTAAGGACAACGCAGCCTTAATTTTAGCACCCCATCAACTCGGTATTGGCATCCAGGGCGGTTGCGAAATAGCCACACACGCTACTCGCATCCATCTCCAAACCAACCCTAGTGACGAAATCCTCGTCAAAATTGATTTCTCTAACGCCTTCAACTCCATTCGCCGTTCCCACTTTCTTCCACAAATATACCACTCATTTCCCACCTTCTCCCAATTTTTCCACTCCTGCTATTCCAAGCCATCTCATCTCCAATTCAACAACTACTTACTTTCATCATCTGAAGGGATCCAGCAAGGCGATCCTCTAGGCTCGATACTTTTCTGCATTGGAATCAACGAAATGGTCAAAAACATTTCTACCAACTGCAATCTTCCACTCCACACTTGGTACATCGACGACGGAATATTCTGCGGCTCCCCTCACGAGGTCGCCAAGGCCCTCGCCATCTTTAATACATATTCCGCCGCAATTGGACTTTCACTTAACGAACAAAAAACCGAGATCTGTCCACTTCATTGTTCCATCCCATTCACCCATAACTTCCTTACAACCGAGCTATCATCCCTCACTCATCTCGGCGCACCTGTCGGTGGCTTGCAATCCATTAATCACTTCTTCTCTAACGCATCATCTAGCTTACTTCATTTCAAAAACATCTCTAAATTTCTCCCTCGCCATCAAGCTTTTTTTCTCCTCAAAAACTTTTACTACATTCCTAAAATTCTTTACGCTCTTCGATCCACCTCAATCTTTAAATTTCCCGACTCACTAAAATCATTTGAAACTTCCGTCAAATCTCTTGCCGAAGAGATCCTTAATCTTCGCTTCAACCATAATTCATGGCTACAAGCATCACTTCCATGCAAGCTCGGGGGCATCGGCTTACGCTCACCTCTAACTCTTTCCATCAGTGGATTCATCGCCTCCCGCCTCTCATCTGACTCACACATTAGCCAGCTTTCTCACTTTCCTGACCCATTATTAGCTGAAGCCTAGACCATTTGGGACAATTCCGTTGTCCCAAACACTCCTCGACCCTCCTCCTGTTTACAGAGAAACTGGGATACTCCACTCAACGAAGGCTCCGTCGCTTACCTAAAATCGAGCCTTCATGACGACGATCTCACAGCCTTTCACCGATTAAACCAAGGATCGGGTTACGAGTTTCTGGAAACTATACCCTCCAACAACCTCGACTTGTTGCTGACCGCTGACGAGCTAAGATTTGCCATTGGATTACGGCTCAATTGCGAAATTGTTCTACCGTACCAATGCAAACATTGCGAAACCAGCGTCGATCGCAAGGGCAGACATTGCCGCTTTTGCCGAGGCCGTTTTCCACGGCACACCAATTGCAATGACATCATATTGCGCGCTCTCAAATCCGCAGTCATTCCATCAAGACATGAACCGACCGGCATTTTTAGATCCGACGGAAAACGTCCTGATGGAATGTCCTTGATTGCTTGGTCAAGGGGCCAGCTACTAGTCTGGGACTTCACCTGCATTGACCCAAATGCACCATCCAACCACAACGTCGATGCCCTCGCTCTAGCAGAAACTCGTAAAACTATCAAATATAGTTCCATAGACCCCTCTTTCTTATTTATACCTATCGCCAGCTCTACTCTTACCACCTTCGGTAGCAAAGCTCTAAGTTTTTTTAAAGAATTAGGCAAACGGATTCGGGAAAAAACCGATCAGCCTAAAGAGTCCCTTTTCTTACGACAAAGACTTGCTACCGCCATCATTCGCTCTAACTACCTAAGTTTCATCTCTTCCATTGAATAATCTCCTATGTCTATGCTCTCTCTCTCCCTTCTCTTTCCTAGTTTCCATTCTTTTATCCCTTACCCTCTTTCGCAAATTATATTTTTTTTACCTTTATTAATTTTACCATATAAAAAAATTTATTATTTGCTATAAACTTTTGATAACATATTATATCAGCAACTATTGAAATAAAGAGAGAATTTGCCCGTAAAAAAAAATGAAATGGTAAAAGATTCTCATTCTTACTTATATCTGCTATCACATCAATAGAAGTAGATGTATCATCTTCTAAATTTATAATGGAGGACATTATTAAAACCTAGAATTTATATTATATTATAATATAATTAATAAATATAACTTGTCTTTACAAAAAATTTGGGATTGTTAAAATATAAAATCTGGTGGAATGGTAGTTTATAAAATATGATGTAGATAGATATTTTTTTAAAAATAATATTTAAATTTAATTTTCAAAATTTTTATTTTATTTATTGCTTTTTAAGTAAAAAAATAATTTTTAAAAGGATCGGGATCAAATATTTAAAAAAATGATCTCGATCACGATCCACAATTTAAGGTCAGGATCTTAAATCCTAGAAAATTGACAAATTTAGGATCGAATCCAGGATCGGCGATCTTTTGATTCCATCCTTTAACAACTCTGTTTATCATTTATAAAACTTCATTAAAATCGTGTTTTTAATCTCATTTATATAATCGGTCAGATTTAGGTGATTATTATGCTTTAATAATTTTAAAATTTTATTTATTTACATCAGAGACCTGTGTACCATTTGCACGGCCCGCCCCTGATTTTTTTAAAATATTATATTCATTTTTGATTTTTATAGCTAATAATGGCGATTTCAAATATTTGGTTATAATATATAGGGCATGGTTCGGATTTTTTTTTCAAAAGGGCTGGGCTTGCAGGTCTCTGATTTAAATTAAGAATAGAGCATAAATTATACAAATGTATGCTGCTTAATTATTTATTTTATTAATTTGAATGAATATTAACATTTAGAAACAAGTGATTTAGTCAATCTTAAAACTCCATATTGGCTTACCTTGATCGATGGATTGCGTGTCAAGGCGTTTGTGGAACTTACTATCTCAGATACTGTGAGAGAAGGAGCTCGGCAGTTAATTCGTTTATCAGGGCTTGGAGCTATGAAACCCAACACTATAATATTAGGATTTTACGATGATGATCTTAAACACAATCGTTTTTCACCACTTTTTGAAAAAGTTTCAGAAGGTAATACAATGTTACATGCCTTTGATCGTCAAACCCCTAAAGTATACAAAAATTTATTTGATGCTGATGAATTTGTCGGTATTTTAAATGACTGCTTATCTATGGGTAAAAACGTGGTTCTTACTAGAAATTTTAGGAATTTCGATAAACTACGCCTATTTAATCTAGATTCCGGAATCTCTTTTTTACGAAATATAACCTTGGTCAGCGATGAATCTACCTTTAGTACTGTTTCTAATTTTAAAAAATTCCAAACGAGATGTCTAAATCCTTTCAGTTATCATATCAGCACCAATAATGGATTAAATAAAACCCGCTGTTATGTTGATGTTTGGCCACAGAATTTTTTTAATCCACTTGGCCCAACTATTCGTTTAGACAATCCAGGAACATTATTTTTACTACAGCTAGCTTGTGTTTTAAATATGAGGCGTGATTGGAACAAAAAAAGTACTCTCCGAGTATTAATTTGTTTAGATCCTCAGGAAAATAACTTTTCTGGCGATACAAATATATCTTCTAATGATAATCTTAGATTTGAAAGCCCTGATTCTATAAATAAGCCACATAATAACCATACATTACGCGAACTAAAAATTTTACTAAATCAGCTCAGGATACCAGCCAAAATCAAGGCAGTAGATTGGTCTCCGGGACGTTTATTTCCATCATTATTTAATTCTAATTGTATTTCCGAAAATAACAATATGGTTTACACTAATGGAGATAATCAGGTCAATCCGGATACTTTATTTTTACCCGAAAATGATTATTTGATGTATGTTAATAAACTTGTTTCTAAACATAGCATAGGGTTAACACCTATAAATGAAAATATAATTCAAACGCCATCAAAATATGAATCACCAACTGCTGTTTGTTTCATGTATCTTCCTAAACCCAGCCCCAAATTTCACAAAGAGTATTTATTTAAATTAGATATTCTGACAAAGGACTTACCTCCATTATGCATGGTTCATGGAATAAATACTGTCACTACAACAACATTATAGCTAATTAATTTCTAAATTTGCGACTTATCAAGATTTTTAATTGTTTTGTAATATACATTGCTTTGTCCCCTGCTAATATAAAAAATAATCGATTATAAGACAGTTTATTGTTATTTATTTAATTTTAAAATTATTTATGAATAAACTAGGATTTAAAACATTTTAAGGAATTCTTCAGCACATAACCTGGCTCTTGAATTTAAACTGATTTTCATTTCATTAATGTCTTTATCAACTTCGGCCATAAAATAGATGATGAAATCTACTAATTTCCTTTTATTATAATCAATCATGTGTTTATTCGTAAGTAAAAATGTAATACTGTAATCAGAATGAGCGACTTTTTTTCTTAAAACTGGGAAATCAGTAGAAGCTCTTAGCATCATATGTCTCATAAATCGTCGGCACAGTATTTTTTCTACATCATCAGATTGTTTCACCAAAATACTAAGCCTTATTGAATTGAATGATACTTCAAATTTTACTCTTTCCTTTTCATTTTTTGTCACTATCATTGGATTAGGTGCTATTATTTCCAAACTATATTGTGTTTCAATTTCGGGTTTATCATGTTTTTCAACATATTCTGATGGAAAATTTGTTATACATAGGCATGCGGTTAGAGTTGTTTCAACAGCTTTTAAGTAAGGTATTGATGATAAAGCCATTATTTACGAATTTATTTTTAAGAATAATATTATTTTTTAAATGTTATATTAATTTAAATAATAAGGTAAAATAACATTCTAGAAAATATTTATGTGAAAAATTTAAAATACATATAGACTTACACTAAAGAATTTAAACTTAAAATCAGTCACCACCCACCTTTAAAGTAATTAACTTATACTGCAGCTCTTGGGCATAGGCTCTTTTTCTGCCCCGCTATTTTCCTTAAAATTTATGGACGTCTGTAACATTTTTCGAAATGTTGCGCTTATAAGTACGTGCGGCTTGCCCACAAACGTGTAGAGGGCTCCTCATATTTTTTTAACTTTACACCCCAATTAACTTATGTTCCAATTAGATGGAAATGAGCTAACGTAGCTCTGTTGTTTATTCAACATCAGAGGGCATATGCACTATATATCACGGATCACGGAAATACATAAAACATACTCATATCTTCTATCTAAACTATGCTAATCATGTAAAATTAATTTTTAAAACCGATATGAACGTATTCGTAAGTATTTATAGTGATTATGTTCAATGTTTCTAGCTTAGAAGGGAAAAGTTTATGGAAGCTGTGAAAAGTTGTTTTATGTACCGCAGCAAGACTTAAACAATTAAGGCTACTCACGAAACTAAATTATAAAATACGGATATGAGAATGATTAGATGGATATGCGAAATATCTCAGGAAAAAGAACTAAGAGAAAGAATTGGGATAGAAGCAATAGGTAATGTCGTGAGAAGTAATGGATTGAGATGACATGAAAATGCCAGATTTGATCTGAAAGGGGATTAGAAGGGAAAATGGCCTACCCGGGCAAACCTGAAAAAGGGTCACTAAAAAACGGATAAGGTTTCTTTTTTTGAGATTTATTATAACGGTTCATTAAAGTGTCGCTATATATCTTGATATGAATATTAATGATTTGAATGGTTAATTGTTGAACTTCATTTAGCATTAATGTAAAAAGGCCCAAAATAAATATTCTACCCCCCCCCCCTCCAACACATAACGCTGCTTTAGTTGGATTGCTCCAATAGACATTTTTGAAAAAATTTAGTCTAGTTCTTACAAAGTTTTGGAAATGCAAAGCATTTCAAATGATCGTGCAATTATGGCAAAACAAAAACGGTCAATTTGTGAGCACTATTAGCCTTATAAATGGATAGATTTAATCATTTGTAATCCAAATTGGATAAATTAAATTTTGACAGTGCATATTGATGTATACCTAATTTTACATTAATTCAAATATTTTTTATATTAGTGTTCATTACTTAAATTCAATCATGATTATATGCCAGTTGAAAAAAGAAGAATAAAAGCGGCAGTAATTAAATGATAATTTTCATATTAAAATTTTATAAATCGAATTATTTAATCTGATTTTTAATGTATAAGATAGGGTAAGATTTTTTTTTAAAAAATAGGTCATTGGAGCAATCATGATATATTGTTTGATAATTAATTGATTATCTTTGCTTAAATTACATTTTGAAGGTGTCGAAAAATATATGGAAAAAAATGAAATTAAATATAGCATCCCAAATTGAACAAAAATACATCTAGACCACTAATATCAAGCGACGATAAATCTAAATATGACATTAGTGATTTAACTAGTGAAGGCCATGGTTTTTGGTCTGAACTTTACATAGTAGATCGAACCACGGTCATCAGAATAAAAGATAAGTCCAAACTAATACTAAATAAAAAAGACCGGTCTTTTAATTTTTTTTGTTATTTTGAAAATAAAAATATCAGCCAATATTATAACAGGTTTTAATTTGTATGTTGTAAATGTCGACACGACCTGTAGAAATTTTCTATTTTTTTGGCCCAGTCCCAATAATTTTTATGAAGGAAAACGAAATAAATTTCCCCAATTTTAGCTTTAAAAACATTAAAATATATTGCACTTACCGGCCCGGCCTCTAATAAGCGATACTACCATCTCAAAATCATCAAAAAAATAATGTTATTTAAATTAAGAAATTTTATAAACCAATATCTTAAAATATATTACACGAATTAAATTACATTAGAATTTATTAAAAATCTACTAGGTTTTCCAGGTGGCAAATCTTTGGCCTTATAGGTCCAAGATCTAAACTTAAGTTACTATATTATTTTTTTAAATTTTGAACGAGACATAATTTTTAATAACCGGAATGGAGAAGTCAATATTATTCAACCAGGACATTATTTCAAGCAGAAGACTTGATATCCACTATAAAAAATCTTTTCAGCAGTAATATAATATAATCAGCCAATATTTTTATTTGATATGAACAAATGTTTGGTCAACTCTAATAGAATAGAAATAACTATGGTTTGTGTACCATAAAAAGGAACATAAAAGCTTATTTAAAATTAAAATTTTGAAATTAGTTATTTTCCACAATTATTTTAAGAATGCTGAGCATATTTTATCATTTTTGGAAAATGGGGGAGAAAAGTTTAAGATTTTTTGAGCGGAATTTTTGGGCGGTTATCATAATTTTTAAAACATATTTGCATCTCAAGACCATTTTTATAAAAAAAATAAAATTCGCGAATTTTTTTTTAAAATTCATAACTAGTGTTGCGTAATCGGCTAAAAACTACGCCTAAGCCTAAAAATTGGCTAAAATAAATTAGTCAAAAATTCTGCACCGATGTCTAGCATTAATTATTATTTTTTTATTTTAGTAAAACAATTTATTTTATTATTAACAAATAAACATGATTTAATATTTTTTTAAAAACTACGATTATGACAATTGTCACTTATCTATGGTACATCTTCACTAAATTTTATTTAAACTTGTTATTAATACTTATTTTAATCTATTTTCGTCAAAAAACTTTAAAAATAACAATTATGACTATTGTCACTTTTCTACGGTACATCTTCAGTAAATTTTTATTTAAACATGTTATCAATACTTATTTAAACATATTTTCGTCAAAAAACTTTAAAAATAACGATTATGACAATCGTCACTTCTCTTAGGTACATCTTCAATAAATTTTATTTAAACATGTTATCAATACTTATATTAGCTTATTTACGTTAAAAAACTATAAAAACTACGATTATGCCAATACTTATCTATGGTACATCTAATTTTATTTAAACATGTTATTAATACTTATTTTAACATATTTTAGTCAAAAAAAACTATAAAAATAACGATTATGACACTTTTCTAAGGTACATCTTCACTAAATTTAATTTAAACATGTTATCAATATTTATTTAAACATATTTTCGTCAAAAAAATTCAAAAAACTTTAAAAGTAACGATTATGACAATTGTCACTTTTGTATGGTACATCTTCACTAAAATTTTATTTAAACATGTTATCAATACTTATTTTAATCTATTTTCGTCAAAAAAACTTTAAAAATAACGATTATGACAATTGTCATTTTTCTACGGTACATCTTCACTAAATTTTTATTTAAACATTTTATCAATACTTATTTTAGCCTATTTACGTCAAAAAACTTTAAAAATAACGATCACTAAATTTTTATTTAAACATAATATCAATACTTATTTTAATCTATTTTCGTCAAAAAAAATGAAAAAATTTTAAAAATAATGATTATGACAATTGTCACTTTTCTACGGTACGTCTTCACTAAATTTTATTTAAATATATTATCAATACTTATTTTAACATATATTCGTCAAAAAACTTTAAAAATAACGATTATGACAATTGTCACATTAAAATATTATCCTTAAAAAGATCATATAAAATAACATCAAAAAAGTTTAATATAAATATTTTTAAAAAATTATTTAAAAAACACCTCATTAATAAAAAAATAAATAATTTTACATAATTGATAAAAAAAAATTATAAAAGATTGTTTTTTTATCTAATAAAATTTACAATAAAATTCCTCAATAAAAGATGTATTTACAAAGAAGATTGTGAAAATAACTAATCAATTATATTAAAAAGAATATTACATTTTTACAATAACAAGCATATTATTTTTTTTATTAAAAAAACATCAAATAAATAAATTTATTTTCATTTCAAAATATAAATAAAAAATATTAAATCATATCATGTTTATTTGTTGATAATAATAAAATATTTACATTAAATATAAATAAAAAATATTAAATCATATCATGTTTATTTGTTGATAATAATAAAATATTTACATTAAATATAAATATAATAAATTGTTTTACGAAAATAAATAATAATTAATGCTAGGCATCGATGCAGAATTTTTGACTAATTTATTTTAGCCAATTTTTAGGATTAGCCTAATTAGGTTTAGCCGATTTATTCACCTAAAATCTCGACCAAGCCGCTTTATAGTCGGCTAAAATTAGCCGATTACGCAACACTATTCATAACAATACAAAAAAATACTTTATTGAACATTATTTAATGCTATTAAAAATATAAGTTGTGAATTATAACAATTAGTAATCAAATGAGATTGGTTTACAATCATTTTTAATAAAACAATGACTTGAAGGGTGTTGAACAATTAATACATTATATGAGATCTTCAGGTGGAGGACCATATTCTTGCAACTAAGACATGTAAATTATATAAAATTAAATTTTTAAATACCTGTATAAATAACTGGAGGATTTTTTCATTTATAACTGAATCGGATGCGTTATTTGTATGTGAAAGTAGTTCAAAATACTTGACAATATCACTTATTAAATGGAATTGTTTTTGATAATTATCTAAAGTAAGTGTAGATAATAGACTTTTATGATTTTCAATCCAAACTGGAAACTAAAAATAATGTATTTTTATGTTTTTCAATTGAATTGCAGCGCTATAGTATAGTAAACATTAAATTCAAATACTTTATACTTATATAATATTATTTACAGAGTTGTTAACGTCATTTTTTAAAAGGAGCTGGATTCCGCTCCTAGTTATGATTAAAAGGAAGTGTCGCTTTTATATTTTTAAGAAAAATTATTCCAATATAGGATAAAATAAAATTTACAACA